ACCTCCTCCCTCGGCATCTCCGTGCGCTCCGGCAGCGCCAAGGTGGCCTTCTCCGCCACGCGGAGCACCAACCATGAGCCGTCGGAGATGAGCAACCGCACCATGACCATCTATTTCGACCAGGTCAGCCGGTCGGCCTGTCCAGCCCGCCGCCAACTCGGGGAGGAGGCCGGGGGCCTGGGCGCGCGGACTTGGGTCCAGGCTTCTTGGACGGGGAGTTCCCAGTCTCTGTCCCGCCCTGCCCTTCCTGTCTCCTTTTTCTAGTAGGAACTCCTCCTGTTTCCCCTCTGAACACCGTGGCTTTGTTACTTTTAAAGGAGCAGTTCACTTGGCATTTGGATGACTGAGAGTCTCTTAGCGCTCAGCGAAGAGTTCCTTAAAACTCGGAGATTTGAAATATATTTCCCAAAAGGAGGCATTGGACGTTTTACTTTTCGCTGTGGGGTGGGGGAAATTTGTAGTTGATGGTCTTAAGTCATGCAGATGGCCACCTTAAGAATTGAGTGCATTTAAAATTCTCCAGGCTCAAGAAAGGAGTCCTCTAAAGATCTCAGCCAGCATTTGGGAAATACATACCTATTGCTCATTTTAAACAACAGGATGTTTAGAACATGTTTATCTTCAAGAAAAATAAGTGGGGAAGAGTGTGTTATACAGCAGGGATGGTTATAAAGACAAAACAAAATAAAGAATTAGATTGTGTAAATACAATATATGGCAAGTGAAATACATTGCAAATGCACTGTGCCTGATATATAAATGTATAGTGTGCTTGTATAAAAGAGAGCAGTGACTTAAGTCATCTTAAGACACTTAACTTCTGCCACTTGGTCCAAAGCAGAAGGGTCAGAGAAAGAATCAGGTCCTCAAAATCCTTTCTTTGGGTTATTGGTGCTTAGGGTTAAGTTGTGACCTTCTCTTACATCACAGGTTTATATTATTTTTCAGAAACAGAAAACATTATAGTGGTTTCCAAACTTTAGATAATCAGCTAATCCTCCTGCCAAAGTGTTTCCCACAAAATGGAGTTCTCGGCATTCACTGACAACATGCCTGGGTTTACTGTACATGTTTAATTCACTTTCCTTCCCTCTGTGAGCCAGCTCTTAGACCTAATGATAAACCTATACTCACACTCTTGACTCTTTTTAAGCCAGTGTACTTATTTTATTAGTATTTGTTAAGAATGATGTATTTGAGGAGTTTGTTTTATTGGGGGGGGTGTCTTCTTTAATTCATTTTTATTTAGAAAACATAAAATCATTTATTTTAATACATCCAAATGAGGGTTACAACAATGAAATAGACATTTGGGAGCTAATAAGTTTCCTATGTGTATTATTATAATCTTTTTATTATTCAGTTATCAATGTCTTGCAAATAGTTTTCTCAGCGTGTTCATGTTCAACCATTTCATTTGGGTGTCAAAAAAAGTCTGTGTCGTAGGACCAGGATGGTAGTAGTAATATCCTAATTTTATACATAGCAAACTATGACAGGGCAGGTTAAATAATGTTTCTCTGGTTCCCCCATAGTGAGGAGCTGAGGCCTGTTTTTCAGGTCTGGTTGTGTGTTCTTTCATCTGCATTAGGGCCCTGCATTTACTAGTTGCTGGAATTTCAAATTGAGGTGAAGGAGCTGATATGAAGGCAAGAAGCAGCACCAAGGGCTTGAATGGAGAAGCCCTTTTTTCCTTTCTAAAGCTTTGTATGGAAGTCTGAGAGCATCACCTTGTGAGACTGAGAATAGGCATCCTGAGGTGCTTATCTTTAACAACAGAGCCCAGAGTGTCTGTCTCAGTCCTGTTCTTGAGTGGAGTTGAAGTGGTGCTCACAGCCGGGCTGAAGAAGCTGGAACAGGCATATTTCACAAGTCATTTCAGCAATTGTCATTGGCAGCATTTCACATTGCTTTGGGAATTGCATGTGATTCATCTGTAATGAGTGTGTAAGAATTAACAGCAAAAGTCATTCTGGTTCGAGTTTATTTTCTGATTAGATGGCAAGATCTTTAATCTAGGGGTTTGATGTTGTTGCTAGATGTTTGTTTTAAAAGCCAAGAACACCAGGCAGGCCATTTTATGATTTGTAAGTGAATTGAGCATTTATAGATAAGGTGGATGAGGACAGATCCAGGCAAAGTGGATAGATTCTGCCTCGAACATCTGAAAGGAAATTGGGTCATAATGGTGGACCTGCCATTCTTGAAGTCTGCTTATGCCACTGTAATGCTCACCCCCTTTTATCTGAGGAAAACCACCTTCAGGGTCATGTGATCTCATGTCAGGTGGCTCATTTTGTCATTGTTCTTGCACGTTGTAGAATTCCATTCATTTGAGCTCAGGGTTTCCAAACTGCCGATTCTCTATTCAAACTTATTTGCGGGACACCATAGCTTAGGTAAGGGAGGGGGCACTCTGCTCAGAGGGAAGTGAGGAAAATCAGGGACAGCAAATGCTTATCCACAAAGATCTTCCATTCACCATTCATTCTTGAACACCTATTGTGTGCTGTTAGGAAGGGTGCCAGGCACTGGGAAACACTGGAGACCAAAACTCCAGAATCCCTTCTCTCCTGGAGCCCAGGAAATTAGGTCCCAAGCTTGATCTTACAGAAGTGATCTCATTTAATTAGCCTCTTGCTCCATGACCCTTTCTCTATTCATCCAGTATGGAAATCTGTTTTTGTCCACCAGGGCAACATGCTGAAGGTCCCATAATCCCACAGACTTCCACAGCCTCACTTTACATTTGTTTACTGAACTTACCATCTTCCATTCATTTCTCTCTGTCCTGTCTCCCATCACACAAAATTCACATCCACTTTTTGAAGGTATAAATAAAATATACTCTAAAATCTCTATTAGCTACGATGTATTAGAATACCTTTGAACTTAATTCCTGCTGCAGGATATTTTAACTTTTATACTGTCTCCTTCTTGGGGAAGCCTGGGTTTGCTGAGTTGGTGTTACCAGCTGCCCAGTGTCAGTGGTTGTCTGAGGATGTTGAAAACCTATCCTGAGGAGGGGCTTGCTATGTTAGTTCTGTGTTCCCTCTTCTTTTTCAGGTATTAGTAAATATTGGCAATCATTTTGATCTTGCCTCCAGTATATTTGTAGCACCGAGGAAAGGAATTTATAGCTTCAGCTTCCATGTGGTCAAAGTGTATAACAGACAAACCATCCAGGTGGGTAGCTTTGACAACTGGACCCTTTTAGGTTTGGGTTAATAGGTCCCCATTGTCAAGGCTGGGCGCAGTGACTCATATCTGTCTGTAATCTGAGCACTTCTAGGAGGCTGATGCGGGAGGATTACTTTGAGGCCAGAAGTTCAAAACCAGTCTGGGCAATATAGTGAGACCCTATCTCTAGCAAAAAAGAAAAAAACAAAAACACAAAAACCAGATTCTCGTTGCCAAAGACCCTATCACATGGTCTGGGAAGCTAAGGAAACGGAACTGGACTTTTCATGGGGGTGTGGTTTTGAAGCAGCAGGAAGTCAACACTGTCAGGCCCCCTGAAGTGGGCTCCAAGGGATAAGTGAAGGTGGGAATGAGGGTATTGAAGGAAAAGAGAACAATGTGTGGGAGTGGAGTCCATTATGGTCTGCTGAGCTTTACCCTCTACATTTTAGGTCAGTTTAATGCAGAACGGCTACCCAGTGATCTCAGCATTTGCAGGAGACCAGGATGTTACCAGAGAAGCTGCCAGCAATGGCGTCCTGCTGCTAATGGAAAGGGAAGACAAAGTGCATCTCAAACTGGAGAGGGGCAACCTCATGGGGGGATGGAAATATTCCACATTCTCGGGCTTCTTGGTTTTTCCTCTATAAACACAGAGCCCCCTGGATGATGGGGAAATTGCAATCTGGACCCAGGAATCCACCCTTCCAAACACCCCGAACTTGCTGGAATAGGACAACTTGGTTCCAACCTCCGTCAGACTGTTGCAGTAGAAAAATGATTTCCTTCTAAACCTCCAGTTTTGTTTTTTGGTTTTTTTTGTTTTTGTTTTTGTTTTTTTGAATATTGACAATTCCTCGGGAACCTGGCCTCTAATTAGTTTTAGATGACAAGGTCTTAAGGAGAAATGCAATTATCAATTTGAGCAATTTGTACCTGTGATTGTAAAGTCAATATCGGATTTTATTGTTGGGACCATTGACTTAACTTCTTTTGTTTGTACGTTGTATTTGTTGTCCCAATTCAAGGAGTGCTGCTGACTCCAGGATGGATTGCAGTTGCACTCAGGACTCAAAGCAAGAGCTCAGTAAAGAACCACCCGCTGGACAGTCCTTGACATGTGTTCTGTGTGTGTCTGTATAGCCTTAAGAAAATGAACGACTTCGCTTTCATTCTGTATTTTCCTTCCCACCATGTGGATGGGAGGAATTGGGAGGGGGATGGGGATATTGTGAACCTGTCAAGAAGTGCTTTATCCAGAGAAGCAAATTTTGCACGATTGGACTGCAACTTTTGTTTTGTATTGTTTGTGTTTTTTCTTGAAAAGCTTTACTTTTCTTTCCATACTCAGCTCTCCCTCTTCGACCTCATTTTTATTTTTCTTGCTGGGGTTGGGGAGAGAAAAATGTATGTTGAATTTATAGTTAAGATCAAACAAAACAAAACAATAAAGTACTTGTATATTTTATTTTGGACGAGACCAAATCAAACAAAAATATCTGTTTATCCAAGTAAAAATAACAAAGGGACAATTCCCTTTATTCTTTCAAAGGGATTCTAAGATGCATCATTAGAACTAGCAACCTGGATTTTTTTATTCTTAATTTATATTCTGGAATCCTTTAAGAGCCCGGTGTTCCTCGGTGGTCCTGAATCATATAAGTTGGAAGTGGAAGCTGTAATGACCAAATCCCCCAATACACTGTTCTTTCCGAGTGTACCTTGACTTCTCAGCATGTGTTTTAATTTGTTTGGATCCACCTCTGAGTGAGTGCACAGTGATCAGTCGCATCAAAGTCAACAGGTCCAGCTCCTTCTCGTGGGATCCTCTTTTGATCTGCCAAGGAAAGGGAGGCGATGATACTCTCCTATGTGCACCTGGCAGGAAGCCACCTGGAAGCCACAGCAGTTAAAGGTACTGGCTGAGGCACCCTGGGAGCAGTTTTACAAATCCTTCTTGTTTTGGCATCTTGTACAACAATATTATTAAGACACAGCTGAGAGTTGATGGGTGCGGTATTCATATGCCAAGGATATGTCACTAATCCCAAAGCAATCAAAGATGAGACCTCAAACCGGATGTTAATTTGTTCTTTGTGTAGCAATGTAACCAAAATATTGATGATAAAAAGTCATAATTTAAGATTCAGAATAAATGGGTTTGATGTCTGGCTTGCTCTTATCCCTCCACTTCGCCTCCCAACATTCAAAATGTGTGGAAGTAAAGACCAAGTATCAAGGACTTGGGGAGATAAATCCAGACTATGCCTCTTCAAAAACACACACTCAAACACCCCCCCTATATTTGCAGACCTAGCTGTGGGTCTGAATGGTTATTGTATACTTAAATACATTTCAGTTTATGCATATGTATTTTTCAAACAGGAAGATCTTGGGGGAATTTTCTGGAAAAGACAGCTCAAGAAACTTGTATGGATAGGCAGTCTGCTTTTATCACACATCATCTTTGATGTGGCACAAGTTCCAATCCAATATTTCAATCAGTGAACACTAACATAAAAGAAACTAACATTTTAAGAGTATGGGTTGTTTCTCAAATGTGTGTGAGGTTGGAGAGGCATTGGATTCCATTTTCAAGTAAGAAATTCAGTGGGGGTTACAGAAATGAAAAAAATATATATATTTTGACTAAGGGTCTAAATTTTATAGTCCTTAGATAAAGGGCATGATAGAATGCAGAATTTAAGTTGAATTAAAATGCTGCTGCATTTTATACAAGGAAAAATTGATCAAAAAGCATTAGGGATACCTTGGCTCTGTGATTAGAAGACATACTTCTAAATAAGCATTACATATTAAGGCTGAAAACATAAATAGAAGGATACTGGAATATGTTTTCTTGTGTTTTACTACTCTTAGTTATTTAGTCCTATTTTTCTCATTTCCTTAATTTTATGCTCAATTTCAAACAGGAAACCTCATTAGAGAACAATATACTATTTCACAGATTGAAAGATATATCAATACTTGCTCTTTATCACTTAACTATATATAATACACATATATGTTTGTATTTACACCTTTGCTACATGCAGGTTGTTACTGGGTTATACTGTCTAATAAATTTGTTATTAAATGGACCAATCTAAAAATGAGTATATTTTAGGAGTTTGTTATATATCAGAAAAAAGGTTTGATCCTGATTATATTACTTCAACTCTTCATCTCCTTTTTTATTTTCTTGAGATGGATGCCAAAAATGATATTAGGAAGAAGCCATGCTGATAGTATCTCTGAAGTTGTTTATCAAACACTGCTGCATCTGCCAAGGTTCTATTTGGCTAAGGATCTTTGAGGCATATGAGCTTCTATGTATGGGTTACAAAAATATATAGGTCAGATCAAAATTTGAAATGTATATTTTACATTGGAAAAAAAAAGAAGAGAGAACTATAATATTTGAAGCCTCTGTCGCTGAGCTTCGATTTTCTCATCTGTGGGTGAGGGAGACAACCCAACAAGGTCAGTCCACCTCACAGGGCTGTCTTGAGACTCACACAGAAGTGCTCTGAGAACTGGAAAGCACTGTCATAGCTTAGGTTGTTATGATGGCAGGAAGGGTGTTTCTGGAAGAGCAGATTTTTCAACATGCAATTTATGAAAAACATAACTATGACTATCTGACAGAAAGATAATTTTATATTAAAGCACATTTCCATATTTCTCAGTAGACTATTAAAACTATAGCACTATATTGAAGTTTAATTTGATTTTTAGGGATGATAATAGCAAAATCTATATATTTTAATATTAACTCAATTCTTAACTTGTTATTTGACTATCTTGTGTGGTTCAAACACACCTTTCTGTTTCAGTATGGAATACCCACATTTTATAAAAAATATACAACTGTAAGATTTTTAACTCAAGTAAAAAATGAGGTACTAATATTACGGCATTATAACAGTAAATTGTTCTGGCTGATAATTGTTAACCCTGCTAAATTGTAAATGCTTATGAAATAATACAGTCTTTTAAAGTTCAAATATATTCTAATTTGAAACACAACCTTAATGATTCAACTCTAGGTCTTGAGAAACTATACTTACCATTTGTAACTTCCAAGCCTTTATTACATTCTAATATTTTTTATTTATGTGTTCATGTGTAAGTGAAATTATCTACATTTTTAAAGTGTGTGCTTATTATGCCTGCTTAGAGTCAAGGCGATAAAAACCTATTGAATATTAGCATGAAAACTCATGGATTCCTACAGAGGTTACTTAGATTTACTTGTTTTAAAATATTTTAAAGCTAAATCTGACTATATTAAGCATCAGAAAATTAGAAAAAATATATAAAGCAAAACAAAACCTTTGTTGAATTTTTAATTTATTTGTAATTTTTTTACTATCAAGAAATTGTAGTAGTCACATACTTAGTAACTGTTACCTGAATATTGTTTGCCTGTAAGTACATGAGCCTGTACACCTGATTTCTTAGCATAGTAATATAAAGTAAAATACGCAGATTGACCACATTCTCCTGGAATCTAGCTACATGTGAGAAGAGAACTTGATGAATCATTTTATACAAGCAAAACAAAAGCGCCAGTTGCTCCAGCATGTTTTAGATGTAGCAAAAGGAGCAAAGAATATTCTGTTAATTTGTGGGCCCACAGTTTTGCAGTTTTTTATAAGGAAATGTTCCTGTGAATAAGATAGTGAATGTCCATGTTTCAACAGCATAAGATGTATGTAATAATCCAATGCACAGATGCACATGAATGGAAGGCTCTTTCACGTCACGTTTAAGATGGAGAACCCACAGAAGCAGATTACATTACATCGCTCTAAAAAGTTGACTGTGCACGCTGTAAAAACACTTGTAAAAAAATGTGGGAAGCGATTACTGTGAGTTTTGCCCTTTTTGCTTGCTTCTGTGGAAATGTACTTGTCACTGGGATTCTATTTCTAAAGCTGACACTTTGCTACTAAAATGGGATATTACAACCATATTTTTAAATTTAAGATCAAATTCTCATGAGACTCTAAAAAATATTTTTCCTAGCATTTAAAGAGCAAGCACACCTAGTACACTAAAGTAAGCTAAAATACAATTTCTATTTTTGTTTTATTGTTTTACTCTTTTTGTGTTCTGTATCTTTTTTTTTCCCTATGACAAACTATGTAGTTAGCTGATGACTACCACAATTTGGCAAGTGTATTTGTGTATTTGCCTAGCATCTTAAAACATTTTTTGTAGACAGAATTTACAAAAAAAAGACACCCAAAAAACAAAAAAAAAAACATAATTTTGCCTTTGCAGATGGAAGGCTATAATTTTTTTAGGTATTTTAAATGTCACTATGTTGCATGCTATCCATGATGTGATTAGACAGATCCAGTTTTCAGACTCCCTAACAACAACAACAACAATTTAAAATTTTAAAAAGTTACATGATAAATCCTTAAAAAAGGTCGAATGAACATAAGCTTTTTTAAAAGTTGGCATGTATATGAGTCTGTATAATAATCTTATGCTAAAACATGAATCTTGAGTAAATGAGTTTTCCCGACATTCCCAAACCCAGTAGGGCAACTTGAAATTTGTACAGGGAAAAGCCATGTGATTTTCCCTCCTACAGATAATAGGAGTTCTGCTTTATCTTCATAAGTGGGTTTTGCTGTGGATTTCCATCACCAGAATTACTTAAGGGTCTATTGCATCATAAATCATCATCTTCATTAGGTCTCCCACACACACTCACTGTGTAGTGTAAATGAGCTCCCTGACAACTTAATTTGGAAAAGAAATCTTCATTCCTTTTTCTTAAGGCCTACAGCAGGACTCCCCAGAGTTAGAATGCCACTTGGCACTGGGGCTGTACTAACAAAATAGAAGATACGAATTGATGAGCCACTACCAGTCTTGCAACCTGACTAGCAATGCCTTTACTTCTATTATTGTCCCCGTATATTCTTCAAGAATGCAGATATCTCCCTTTGATTTCATATCAGTCATTTTTCAAAAAGAACATTGAGTTGGAGAATGTTGGCAATGCTTTGGATGGTGGAATTCCTAAACAGTTTGCTCTCGTTCATCCTTCTTAATTCATTTCAAAATACTTCTATTAATCTCTTATGCCTTCTAAGTCCCCTAGGATATAGGTACTTCCTTGACTTTTACTAAAAATGCACACTTATTGTGATTTTGGTTACATCTTTATTATGGAACTGACAAGATGAGAATAATATCATAGGAAAAAGAATATCTAAAAACTTATTGGGTAACATTTCACAAACTGTACAATTACTAAAACCTCTCATTTGTAATATTTTTATATGGATCTTAGTGATTCCTATGAGCCTTAAAAGTATATTATTCTATGAAACATTTATCTTTGAATTGCTATTTTTTTCACAATCCTGTAACTAATGGATCATAGGTAGTATATTTCTTGAGAGTAGTCTACCACTGAAAAACAAACATAGGGAGTGAAGATGTAATACTGTCTTCTTTTTATGTTTCCAGGTTCCATGTCAGGATGTCATAGCATGGTTTTTGCTCTGAAATTGTAAGCTGTCAGTGAAAAGATTAGTTATATTACTTATAAAACATGACCTGTTCTTATGGGAATAGGGTATAGACATTTCCTTTTTATTCCACAACATTTATGTATAACAGCCTAGGAGCCAGACAGTGTGTTTAAGGATGATGATGGAAAAAATAAAGATATACTCAGTATGCACCAAAAGCTTATAGTCCTTCTTAAAAATAATGTTCAAAAACTAGCCTGGAGGATATTTAGTTAGACTGATGGTGTGGGGGTGGGCTGGAGTGGGGGTGGAAAAACCTTAGAAATCTGAATGCATATTTACTGATGTGAATAATGTCATTTTAATTTTCATTTTTTACATATGAAGAAAATAATGTTATTTTGGCATTGACACTGAATATCAGTTGATCTCACAACTAAAAGTCCCTCCACCCCATGTTGACTATGGCTTCATATTTAGCAAACCAATAGCAGATTAGAGTTTGTGAACTAATCTTGAAAGTATTAAAGCAAATAGGGACAGCTACAGGGAATTTCCATTGTTTTAACACATGAAAGTTAAACTATCATAGTCCATTTTTTTGCAGTTTCTTGTTTCTTCTTCTGTGTAGTGAATTACTTGGGAAGACAGAAGGCATGCTAGAATCAGTC